GTAATCCCAGCTCTTGGGAGGCTATAAACAGGCAGATCACTATGAGTCCAATCTAGTAGTGAGACCCTGAATACCCTGTAGACCCTTCCTTAAAATAGGATAAATAAACAAACAAGCAAGCAAAATTGGTCAAAAAAGTTATACAAAATTAAAAAGGAGAAAGAAAAAAAAAAAAAAAAGCATTAACTGCTCCTTGCAACAGACCAGCAGAAATCAGCAGTACAATTATCCAAGATATATATATGCATATATATCTTCCCTTCCTTTTCTCCTTTCTCTCGTCCTAGTTGGTCCTTCCTTTGAATAGATTCTTCCCTTTCACAGTATCTATTGTACCTTTCAGATGTATTTTTTTTTTTTTTTGAAATTTGTATTTTTTTCTATGATCTGGCTGCTTCCTATTTGACCCTGGATTTGTTATTATTCTCATTTGTCAAATAATATTAGATGTCAATTCTGGTTTTTTTAATAACTTAGCCCGAACCCACTTGTTGTATAATCTTCCCTTTTGCTCCAAATTGAACAACCTGTTTTTTGTAAGTCTTTCTCGGTACTTACGGAATCTCCAGTTTCTGCTCACTGATTTCTGTTTCTGCTTTCACTTTGCATGTTACACTTCTGTTGTTTTTTGTGTTCTGGTTCATGATGTGACTATTTCCTTTGCTAGAAACTGATTCAGGGGCTGGTGAGATGACTCAGTGGTCTAAAGCACCTACTTAGAACAAGCTAAGCAAAGCTCAGGGACCGCTGTTCAATCCCCCAGCACCACATGCCAGCCAGCCCCGCCCCCTGGTGGGCTGAGCTGGCCACACACACACACACACACACACAAATAAATAAATTTAAAAAAAAAAGAAAACTGATTCAAATTCAAATCCTAAATAGAAAAATGAAATCAAATTAGCAAAATGCCATTTCTCAGAAGAAATGACATATAGAAATAATAACTTTTATTATTGTTTGAGCAAATTAAAGAACTTCAATCTGATCTAGCATTTCCTAAAGAAAAGTCACGTATATTCTTCCCCACTTCATTATTTTAAATAATCGTTCTATAATAGAAGTAACAAATACTTTAAAGTGGTTTTTAATTAAATTTGAAGGTCAAGGAGAGTAGAAGAACTCCCAATTCACTTCCTAGATTAATTCATTTATTTCAACAAACACTTGAAGGATACACATTATATGTCAATCTCTAAGCCAAGCAGTGGGATAAAGTTGTCAAAACAAAAATGGCCCCTAATCTACTGGGTACTAAAGGGGAAGACAGATATTAAACAAGAAATTCCCAAGGGGGCCAGCGAGATAGCTTAGTGGTCTAAAGTGCAGGAACCATGGTTCAATCCCTAGCACCGCATGTCGCATCAGCCCCACCCTCAGCGTGGGCTAAATTGACCACAAAAATAAATAAATAAATAAATAAATAAATAAATGAAATTTTAAAAAAGCAATTCCCATGGAAGGGTGGACACAGTAGGGTGTGGGAAGGTAGGAGTTGTGAGAAATGTATAGAAGTCAGAGATGCTTTCTCCAAGAAGTAGTACTCTAGGCTTGAGGTCAGGAAAAATGTCAGTCAAAGATGAGAAAAAGGAATACAATGAGTGTGAAGATGACTGAAGATTTTTCCCTGGCCCCTGCAGATGCAGATTTACCATTTTACCCAACACATGGCCAGGCTGTTGTAGGCAGGGATTGGTTGCTCTAAATTTCCTGCCCCTTGTAATACATACCAAGCTCTAGAGGGCCCCCAACTTGGGCTACCGACTTGGATGTGCCAGTTAACCCAAATGCATTTGCCCAAAGTGGCTTCCACAGACTTTGTTCTTGCGTGGTTGCATCGATCAGCTGCACAAGTGTAACGATGCCTGTTGCAGGTGGCTAATTTCTATGGCTCTAGGCTCTTCAGCAGAGCTGTTTTCATTCTCCTAAATTGTCAGTATGAATTATGTCACTTATAGGGTACAGAACATGAATGACCAACATGACCCATAATCTTATACTTAGGAAAATGGGAAGGCAAGAGGTGGATCTTTCAGTCTCTATAGCAACAGAAGAGGAAGCCTGCTCCCCAAGGGTCTGCTGGACCCCTCAAGGGTCAAGGGCCCCAGGGCTTAAGGCTGTGCCACACACATACCAGTGTTCCTGCCTGGCAGGTACATCAAGACCAAGCAAAACCATGGCCTGTGAGTCCCTCAGTGGACAATGCCACAGCTCCCCAGATGGCAATTGCTGTAGGAGCTGGGTCTCCACCAAAGCTGCCCAGACTACTGGCCTTCATGCCAAAGCATGACCTGTGGGAAAAGGACATTAAATCTCTGATCTGTGCTTAACTAAACAGCAGACTGTGCCGGGTGATACCACAGCAGCTTCTGAAGGCCTCCTCCTAACGCCTCTTATAATTTGATCCTCATATAATTATTAGATGAAGACACTAAGACTCACACGTGGGTGAGTGACTTGCCCAACATCTGGAGCTATTCAGGTTTGTAGCCTGGGTCATCTGCGTCTGCGTTCATGTGGCCCAACAGGCTCCAGGTACTGGAGTACAACCTAATGTTTCGGCCTTTGATGAGCCCCCAGTCCAGGGAAGATGGGCCAAAAGGAAGCAATTAGAATCACAGGTCTGAAGATAGATGGCTGAACGGGTATGGGAATGCACCCCAGGGACGCACTGTCAGCAGGACCCTGGAGCTCCCAGAGGAGGGGGCAGGAGCTGAGGGTTCAGTTCTGCAAGGATCATGCAGAAAGGTGAAAGCAGATGGCTGGCAGCACTAATTCAGTAAGTCTGGGGAGAGACCCAGTGCGCTGCCTTTCTAGCAAGTTTCCAGGAGTCTGGACAACTGCTGCTCCGAGGAGCACATTTCCTAAAGCATAGAAGACCCTGGGCCACCGATGTACATACAGAGCCTTGTACATACAGGGCCAGGCTGGCTGGGTACAGGGACTTTGGGGATGGAGGGGGCAGGGAAAAGGCAGAGAGGGAGGCAGCACCAGGCCCTGTCAAGCCGCTGGCTCTGAAGCCCGGGCTGGAGCGGGCTCTTCTCCACTCCTGGCCCAGGCCCCATCCTGGCAGTGGAGGTGTCCCTTCTTTCTCATCCTTCATTTCCACAACACCCTACAGTGCTTCTCTCATACTATAGCGCAAACTACATATCCTTTATCCAAAATGCTTGGAACCAGCATTGCATAGACACCTTCCATATATAGCCTCAAGATCATTTTATATAATTTTAAGTAATTTCATGTGTGAGTTTCTTGGTGCGGATGTCCTTACTTGCAATGTCAGGTCGGTGTTCGAAACCTTCGGATTTCGAAGCATTTTGACTTTTCGATATCCAGATGAGGAATGTTCAGCCTGTCATAGCACGGACGACTCAGATCCAAGGCCTGGACTAAAAATCACTGCACACAGGTTGGCTCATTTGACACCCACAGTAACCCTGTGGGGTAGGTATGTGCGCTCTCCATTCTAAAGATTTGGACTCTGAGGCACAGAAAGACTTGAGCATTTGCCCAAGAACTCTTAGATGTTTGAGGTGGTGCTGGGTCATGCCAGCTCCTCTCCCTCCCATGTGCTGTTAAAGCCCAACAGTCCAGTTCCCTAGACCCCACCAGGTTCGTAGTCATCACTTTCCAGGGCCAGGTGGGGGCAGGCAGATGCAGCTGGCCCCAGAAGAAGGCACGGGGGCTCCCTGACAGCTGAGAAGGAGCAGCTGCCAGCTGGACCAAGACCAGCTGGCCTTTGGCCAAAGATTCCCCCATAATTAGCAGGCTAGGGGTGTCAAGTCATGAGAGCCTCTGCCTCTACAGCCTGTGTCCCCAAATTCATTAACAGTTATTCTCCTTTATGTCTTCTCTCCAGGCCAAATAACCCACAGGGGAAAATGAAATGACATGGGTCAGAGACCAAGTGTGACCTTCCCTCCACAATCTCTGTGGTGGGCTGCCATGATTTCTCCCATGCACACTGGTTGTCCCTTGCTGCTGTAGCCTTAGGAGGTTATTTCCGGCAGCTGGGGGTTGTCAGCCAAAGATGCCTGGTTCTGCAGCTGGACCCTGGCTCCCAGATGGAGGTGACTGCCAGGGAACCAGCTCTGAGCCAGTGAGTGCGCCCTAGTGCCAGGACTTGCCCAGGGCAGCCTCTCAAGGGCAACAGGGGCAACAGGAAGAAGGAGATCTCTGCTGATGGCGTGATGGAATGAAAAGCAGGAGGAAAATGTGGAAGTTGGTGATGGGAAGAACACTTGAACTAACATCGGCCTTGATTAAGGCCTCCATTCTGCTGCTTAACTTGGTGACTTTGAACAAGTTACAGGAGCCTCCTGAGCCTCAGTTTCTTTCCCTGTAAACTGGAGCCAATAGTCTCTACCCAAGGGCTATTGTAGAGATTAAATGAGAATGTGTGTTTAAAGGCTTGGGACAGTAAGCCCCACGAAATAGTTTTTGTTGGTAAAGTTCATCTCATATCCAGGAAGTCTAGATACACACACAGCACTTGTTCATTTTTTCAAAAACATTTACTGAGTATCTTACTCTATCCAAGCCAGTGTTTTGGACACTGGGAATAAAGCCATGCATGAGACAGACAAGAACCTTGCTTGCCCAGAGCTTGTTCTACTGTGACAGATGCCAGTCAATAAGCAGCTACGTGGGCTGGGGAGATAGCTCAGTGGAATAAGTGCTTGCCTGACATGCCCAAGGTCCTGAGTTCAATTCCTAGTACCACCAAAAATAAAAAATAAAAAAGGCAGCTACACAATAACTCAGCAAGGAAACAAAATGGTAGTAAGTGCGGTGAGCATATTAAAGCTGGATGGAGTGAGAGCAAAGGGTTGTCTCCATGTCTGTGGGCTCAGTGATTGGAGAGTATAAACCAGTAATGGCCAAAGGAACGCCTCCCCTGTCACCCTCATTCCCTAGCTGTGGGTAGGCTAGCTGTCCACAGGATGTGCAGCCTGCATCCCCCAGTGTCACTAATGGTCTCTGTGTTTGCCTTCCAGGAGAGCAGCACCCTCAGCTGAATTTTCAGTAGACAGAACACGCCACTTGATGTCCTTCTTGACCATGATGGGCCCGAGTCCTGACTGGAATGTGGGCTTGTCTGCAGAGGACCTGTGCACCAAGGAATGTGGCTGGGTCCAAAAGGTGGTACAAGACCTGATTCCCTGGGATGCTGGCACTGACAGCGGGGTCACCTATGAGGTAGGTGTGTGCCTGCTCTGGGCGTCATGGACACAAGGCAAGTCCAGCTCTTTGGACAAGAGTCAGGAGAGGTCTCGTCGTCGTCATGTTCATTAGGGATCTAGGACACGCTGGTGCAGTGACCAGCACAGCACAGAGAGGGAATCGACTAAGGAGCAGCTTGCGTGTCAGCAGTTTACAGGTCAGCAAGGGGACAGCTCGGCAAGGACGTGGAACCAGAGGCAGCAAGAACGGAGAGAACAAGAGAAGGAAGTTGATGTATTTGTGTAAGGCCAGACCACAGTCCAAAGGCCAAAGAGTTTTATTATTCTGAATGTCCTGTTGCTCAGACATAACTATAATCAAAGTCCAAAACATAGTGGAAGAAGAGTCTAGAACAGACATGAGGACAGTATAGTTTTGGAGACAAATCTAACCGGTAACCCTGATTTATAAATAGATGTCAAGACTAGCTCTACTCGCCCAATTAAATATTGAGTGTTCTCTGCAGCTGCTTTCCCTCTTACAAGGGCTGAGCTAAGTAGTTGTGACACCGTGTGGCTCACAAAGCCTAAAATATTTATCATCTGACCCACTATAAAAAAAAAAAAAAAGAAAAAAAGTTTGCCATCTGGTCAGTAGGAAGAACTCTGGATTCAAGCTAAGCTGGCTCCACCATTGCTGAGCTGGAATGACCTGGCTTCCACGTTTTGAAGGGATGAGAAAGCATAGCTCTATACATGTCTAAGTGCAGCATATGGTATAAACAGAATTCTACAAGTACAGTTACCCTTGTTAAATTCCTTTCAGAATTTTCATCCTGACCCACCTAACAAATTGCTTCATGGGTTTTATGTTTCTCTCTTTCTCTTTTTCCTGCAGTCACCAAACAAGCCCACAATTCCCCAAGAGAAAATCCGGCCTCTGACCAGTCTGGACCACCCCCAGAGTCCTTTCTACGATCCAGAGGGCGGGTCCATCACTCAAGTAGCCAGAGTTGTCATCGAGAGAATTGCCCGGAAGGTACTGGGGTGAAGGCCATCAGAAGGACCAGGGAGACTGTGGACCCTTTGCTCTAGACTGACAGGATCCCTGGCAGATAGCGCCTTGGAATATGGGATTCCTGAGCCTGGCAGCAGGTCTAATATGCAAATGATATCCTGATATGTAAATGAGCAAAATGAACCCAGTGTTGAGGCCTGCTGTTCAAATGCATGATTCGACCCAGGCCCGTAGGTTTTACTGCAAATCCCACTGTCAGATACTAAAGTCTGTCATGGTCAGGATCCCTGCATAGTGACTCCTGCTCCCTTCCCTTTCTTTCTTTCTTTCTTTCTTTCTTTCTTTCTTTCTTTCTTTCTTTCTTTCTTTCCTCTTCTTCTTCTTCTTCTTCTTCTTCTTCTTCTTCTTCTTCTTCTTCTTCTTTTTTTAATTGAGTACAGGGTCTACAGGGTCTCACTACACAGATTGGACTCATGGTGATCCTCCTGTTTTCAGCCTCCCAAGTGCTGGGATTACAGGCGCATGCCACCAGGCTGTCTCAATCGCAGTCTCAGCATGCCCCACTCTGGGGATCAAACCCCGGGCCCTGTGTCTGCCTAAGCAGGTGCTTTAATCTGCTGAGCTATCTGACTGGCTCTCCATTTTTTTCGATCAGGTTGCAAATGCTGGCCCAGGGGTCTACCACAGCATAGGATTTGTACAGGGAGCACATTAGACCTTCTGTCCTCCTCCATCTTCTGAGCCTTTCTTCCTCCTCCTAATGTGAGCCCTTCAGTTAAAATTCCTTCCACAGGGGGAACAATGCAATATTGTGCCTGACAATGTTGATGATATTGTAGCAGACCTGGCTCCAGAAGAGAAAGATGAAGGTAAGTCATTCTCCTTCATCACAGGGGTAACAGAAATTGGTGTGCCACTTTGAGAACAGAGTGTGCTCACATCTTTTTAAGAACTATAAACTTAGCCATATCTTTTGACTTGACGACCCCATTTGTGAGGATTTCTTCGAAGAAGTAATCGGGAGGCTTGAGTGTAGCTCAGCAATAATGCGTATGCTTAGCATACACCAGGCCTTAGGTTGAAACCCCAATAATCCCTACCCCTGCCAAAAAAAAAAAAAAAAAAGGATTATCAAAGCCAAAATTATAAGGTAAAGGTATGACACTGAAGTATGTATAAAATAGTGTCAGTCCTTTAATACAGCTATGAAAATGCATGTCAATAGGCTTCTTGGAATTCCAGTCTCTCTACCAGTGACCCGGGCATTGGCTTTGGAGGCAGGCACATGCATCCACCTCCTCAGCAAGGCTGGGCTTCTAGTCAGCAGGCCATGACAGAGCCATAGCTTGAACTTAATTTTGTTCATAGACTCTGGAGTCAGATAACCTAGATTCTCACTAGTCCTGTGACCCTGGGAAGAAGGTAACTTTTCTACTTCAATGCCCCAACTACAAAATGGGCATAATAATACAACTCACCTCCCAGAAAATTGTTGGTAGATCAGAGAGATAAAACACACAAGGTTTTTATAGTGGTACTGTCACATAATCCACACTCTAGCAAACATCAGCTCTCCTTACTCTGATCATGACAATTGTGGGGGCCCAATGTCACTAGAAAGCAAAATAGCAACACCAAAGAAAAGTCTTGTGCTTTCTAAAACTGCCTGTGAAATGCCAGTGTGGATGTGGAAACAATGTTTGCTAAGGTTGGGGACTGGTAATGAAAAGCTCTTTGTGTGCTAAGAGAAAGAGATAGCAAAAAAATTATTCCTATCATTTAGGGTGCTGAAATAATGTTTAAATGCGGGGGAATGGCTGCTCCCATCCCTGGAGCACTCAGGCTCATGACTTTCTTGTCCCCAGATGAGCCTGTTGGGGGTGAGGGCTCATTGTCATCTTACTGGCTCCCCAGGAAAACATGTCAAATGCTCTTTGCAGATGACACGCCTGAAACCTGCATCTACTCCAACTGGTCCCCGTGGTCAGCCTGCAGCTCTTCCACCTGTGAAAAAGGCAAGAGGATGCGGCAGCGCATGCTGAAGGCACAGCTGGACCTCAGCGTCCCCTGCCCAGATACCCAGGACTTTGAGCCCTGCATGGGCCCTGGCTGCAGTGACGAAGGTAAGGAGCCAGCCCAGCCCAGCCCAGCCTGCAGGGGCTCATGAAGGTCAGAGGGCAACACAATCCTCTCACACCGGAGCAGGCAGAGCCTGGGGAGGGGGTGGAGCAGGACCCTGACTGTAGTTGTCAGTGAGGTCAAACCCAAGGAGACCCCTTCCTATAACAACTTGAGGGCTCTGAACACAGAACATCTGACATCAGACTTCTTGAAACTGACTACACACTTCCCTCCCTGGCCAGAGAATACATACACAGGACTGCAGAGCTAGCAATCATAGATGTATCTTACAGCAAATTAGAAATAATAAGTCGCCTATTGCTGGGCCTTAACTCCAACTACTTTTTAAGGAACCCATGAACAGATTGGCCAAGACAGTCAAGGTCCGTTGCCCTGATTCTGTCAAGCCTGGTGGCCCTCCTGGGTATTCCACCTCAGCGTGAGTCAGAGCATTTGTGTTGTGTCACACCCTCCAGGGTGATTGCAGAAATTCTCGGTCTCACCATCTGTAACTGCTCAAAGGTCAGGCTTAAAGTATACACTTGCAACACCTATGTCATGGCGGTTCTGGCTTCCAGATTGCAGGAAGCTGATTGTGATGCAGGGGTCACTGCCTCCCAAGAGCACAACTCTTGGACGGATCTGTCCTCCCCCTCTGAGCACATCGTTGGGGTACAGTGAGGCTGCAGGAAGACAGCACACAGGGTAGTTTAGAGAAAACCAGTTATCTGTCCAAGCAGAAGATAACTGAAGAAAACAGCTGGCCTCAGATCACCCTGCCGCCCCTCTATGCTGCACCTGCACATAGTTTGTTGCTGGTTTTGCCCCAAATAGGGCACTTTGTGGGGGAAGAAACCCTACTGCTAAAAGATCATGCCAACAAACATTGGAAAAAGTCACTGGCCCATCACTGTGGAAGGCTCTTTCCAGGGCCTGGGAGCTGTTCTAACAAGCCTACTGTGTAGCTCAGGTCTAGCCACCTCCTGAACAGGGAAAAGCCCATTTCATACCAGTCAGGTGGCCGCAGGGAGTAATGAGTTCTAACCCATCCCAGCCTGTAGCTGTTCCTTGTACCTGGAGTTCAAGCCACTCCTTCCAGAAAGAGTTCTCTTATATACACATTAAGTTCCTTTCCACACTGAATTGTTTGGGGGACTCATCAGAGAAGTAGAGGTCCGTGGACATTCTCAAGGAATGTTTATAAAATTAATGCACTTCACTGTATCACAGCAACTGCATCTTTACTGGGCTTCCTAATGATCTGAGCCAACTCTATTACCCCAACCCTTAATGTCCCTTCCCCTTTTGTCCTTGTCCCAAGCAAGATTAGAGGGATCTTTTGCAAAGGCAGCCACTGGACACACTACTGAGCACTGACAATGTGATTACTGGCTGAAAAGCTGAATTTGTATTCACTAGTCCTAGATGTACTTAGGCTTAATAGATTACGACCTGTCTTAAATTGTATGTAGAATAAATTATATTTGTGTGTGGTATATGCACATACCCATTCAGGTAGCCCTTAAATTTATTTTTATGGAATATATAGTAATCCTGAGTGCTCTGCACATCCAGACAACGGCCTCTTTCTGCTAGAGAACAAGAGCCACTTTCATGGTTTAGGCCACTTTCGTGGGCAGTCCTGCTTCACTGGCCAGCGCCCCAGGGGTGCTGTGAGTGCAAGTCCCCAAGCGGCCCAGCCCCCACGAAGCCCTGAGCGAGCCCCACTGTGGTGTGTTGCAGAGGGCTCCACCTGCACCATGTCCGAGTGGCTCATCTGGTCGCCCTGCAGCGTCACCTGCGGCACGGGTGTGCGGTCCAGGGAGAGGTATGTGAAGCAGTTTCCAGAGGACGGCTCCGTGTGCACGCTGCCCACCCAGGAAACGGAGAAGTGCACGGTCAACGAGGACTGCTGTGAGTGGAGGTGCTGCACGGGTGGGGCGGGCACTCACTGAAGCCTCCGGCTGGTGCGGCTCAAGGGCCTTGGGTCCCCAGCTCCCAGCAGCTGCCTGGTGACCGAGTGGGGTGAGTGGGATGAGTGCAGCGCCACCTGCGGGATGGGCACGAGGAAGCGGCACCGCATGATCAAGATGAACCCAGCGGATGGCTCCATGTGCAAGGCGGAGACCTCGCAGACGGAGAAGTGCATGATGCCCGAATGCCGTGAGTGGGCGAGGGGGAGCACACCGGTGGGGGCCTGGAGGGGTACGGAGAATCACAGCTCTGCCGGCCACACTATCAAAGTCAGAGGCTCTGCGTGGTCCGCCAGCCCCAGGGCACTGCCAAGAGCCAGAGAGCCAAAGGTATGTGGACACCCACCGGGTCCAGGCTGGCCGCCTCTGGGAAGCATGCTCAATGGCGCGCGTGTGGCCGGCCGATGGCCTCTGGCGAGAAAGGGCCTGCAGCTGTGTTTCAGAAAGCATTCATTCGTCTTGGAAGCTATGCTTAGTAAGACCCGCGTTCCCAGCGCCCAGTGCACTCTTTTGGACACTGCAGGACCCCTCCTGCTCTGTGCACAAATTCACACAATGGTGTACAAACCACAAGAACACACACTCAAGGGATTTCAGAATCAAAGTGTTAAAATGCAGCATTGGGCCTGTACGTTAGTATGGAAGTCTCAGGCAGCACAGGTGCTTGTCTTGAGGAAGAGCCTAATCAGGCTTTCAGTGCTATCAAAGTGGAAACCTGTGTGCTCAGATTAGCGATCTCATCTGAGGCTGGGTTCTAACCACCACCTGGGCCTGCAGCTCTCACTTCAGGGAACCCACTTTACTCCAGAGCCAGGAGCCAGGGAGGAACACTGTGGGGCCACGATCGAAAGTAGCAAAGGAAGCCTGGGCTCAGGAGCGAATCTGGTTTTTGACCTAGACACCATCCCGTGCTTGCTGTCTCCGTGGACTGAGTGGAGCGACTGCAGCGTAACCTGCGGGAAGGGCATGCGGAGGCGCCATCGGACGCTCAAGTCTCTGGCGGAACTCGGGGACTGTAATGAGGAGCTGGAGCAGGTGGAGAAGTGCATGCTGCCTGAGTGCCGTGAGTCCTGGGCCCCGAGCCCACGCCTTCTTTCCTCATGAGGTCCCCACACCAGGGAGCTCCAAACGAGCCCCACCCTGTGATAAGACTTTTAAACATCCTGGAGCAAAACTGATTCTAGGGGAGTAACTGCATATGGTTCAGGTCTCTACACTGTAGGTGGCTCTGAGGTCTAATCAGTGACACATAGGAAATCCCACAAATCAGCTAAGTTGTCTCGCTCCCCCACCCCCACCCCTGCTCCCAAATATAGGCCTGAGTGGTCTTAGTACTAATTCTATTCCTCCTTCCTATGACCATTTTATATACCCTTGATCAGAGGCTGGGCATTAGATCAGTGACTCTTGCAGCTTGGTGAGAAGACAGCAAGACAGTAAGCCAAGTTCCCAAAATCTTGCTGACCACCTCAGTCTCCTCCAAAATCTCCGTGGCTGAGCCAGTTTATCCGGCCGGCCTTTCAAGAGAGCTGCTGATGCTTGCTATGATTTTTCTGACTTCTTCTAGAATGCCCTTGCAGTCTTGCCTCTTGCTCCTTCCTCTTGTTAGCACTCATGCTGTCTGCACGGTTCAGGTCCCGGTTCTGCCCTTTACGGTGGCTCTGCCTTCAGCAGATTACTTGCATTCCTGTTCTGCAGTTTTCTCATCTGTCTAACAGCAGGAAATGCTCCCCGGGTTGCTCAGAGGGTTACTCAGTAACTGGCAGTCGGAGCTCTAGACCTAGCAGGTATAGACCTCAGGGATCTACAGTCTGCTCCGTGCCATTTCTAGCCTTGGTTATGGGCACAGACAGCCTGCACTGTTGACTACTGTTCGAACCAGCTTTGCAGGTTAGGGCCCCAGAGCCTTCCCATGCGGACAACTACCAACTCAAAAATCCTATCAAGTCAGATGAAAGAAAAAAAAAAAAACAAAACATGAACACTAATGAGGAGCTCCCTGGGCTGGAGAAGTAATGCTCCTTACAATCTAATGAGAAAAATATGGTGCCTATTATGTCCATTTTGCAGGGAAGAAATCTACCTGAACTCCCACAACCATGAACAAAATGAGCACTTCCTAAACCCAGTGTGGACCTGGGTTTGCAAAGCCACTGCAAAGTTTAGGGACATTTCCCTCCTAGAAGAGATCCTAAAAATTGGATCAATGTATTATTTCACACTTGTGAAGTGCTATTTGCTGGATCTCACACTACAAAGCACCACTTGCTCTTAACCTGCTACTGAATTTTCCAGTTCTGGTCCCCCGTATTTCTTGCATAGACCACCACAGATATGTCACAGGATGGCAAAAGCAAATGTCACCTGAGCTTAGGGAGATCTGTATTGGTCTACAGGCTTATTGATTTTTCTCTCCAGAGTCAACAGGGAGGTAATGGGGAGCTTGAGCTTGCTCTGAAAACCACCACCAGCAACTGTGGCTTTCCTAAGAAAATCTGAGTCCCCTGGGCACCATGGAAGGCCGGTTTATGCCACTTGAGGCTGACTCCACAATACCCAAAGAGTTGCTGGAACAGGGCAAGAGCTCTGAACACAAAGTCCTTTGATGCCTTCTTAAGAGAAGGCACAGATGCAGGTCATTCATTCCTTGGCACCACCAACCCCACTCTCCTGCTTACCTACTCTGTGGGCTGGGTGAAGTAATCTTGCCTTTGGAGCCTGTTTCTTCTATAAAAAGCACTCTGTGGGCCCGAGATGTTCACAAGAATATGACTACATCTCATTTCAGACCACAGATGCACTAATATCCCTCTGTGTCTTGCCAGCCATCGACTGTGAAGTCAGTGAGTGGTCCCAATGGTCAGAATGTAACAAGTCCTGTGGGAAAGGTCACATGATTCGAACCCGGATGATCCTTATGGAACCTCAATTTGGAGGTGCACCCTGTCCAGAGACTGTGCAACGCAAGAAATGCCGCGTCCGGAAATGCCTTCGAAATCCATCCATCCAGAAGCTGCGCTGGAGGGAGGCCCGAGAGAGCCGCAGGAGCGAGCAGCCACGGGAAGAATCTGACGGGGAACAGTTCCCAGGTACGGCCCTGTGTGGGGCTCCCATGGGTTCCTGTCAGGCTAGGGCCTAGCGTGGCCTCAAAAGAGCAGAGACACTGCATTTTAATTATATTTTCTTTATATACAGTTTTTTTGTTTGTAGTACCGGGGATTGAACTCAGGCCCTTGCACTTGTCAGGCTAGATACAGTTTTTCTTTTTCCCCAGATATTAAGCAAGCATAGATTTTAAGGGGGAATTTTATCAAAGCTTTAAATGACATACCTAGCAAGCAAAGAGCCCTTAAGAATTTCATTACTCTGTACATCTTTAAAATGTACTTTAAGACCATTAGTATGGTCCTTCTTTTCTAACCCCATCCACTCTTTACAAGAGGGACAAATAACAACATGGACTCAGGAATCTTGACTATCATCTAGGAGATGTTTTCCAAGACCTCTCAGAGTTAAGTTACAGCCACTCTCAAGGTGTGACTCCAACAAGACAGTCTTGGTTGACCACAAGTTTGGCTGTAGTGTCACGTCAGCCTTGAGTTTATTTCTTCAAATGTTATGGGTCCAAGCTGTCAATTAAGTGCTACATTCTCTAATAAAACATGAACCGAGTGCTAAGGAAGCCAAGGAATGGACTTCCTTGACTGGAGTTCAGGGAGATGCCACACCAGATAAAATTAGGCTGGGCCTTAAAGAATTTGTAAGAGTCTGCCAGTTGAGTACATTCCAGTTATGAAGAACAGTAACTGCTAGGTCACAGACATGCCAAAGAGCATATGCCCAAGCAGTAGAGAATGCAGGCAAAGAGAATTGGGGCGGGCGACAGGAAACCAAGGTGAGAAGAGGCCAGACCATGAAAGACCAGTGGGACTTGGTACTGTGGAGGCAGTCTTAAGCTTGAGTGACTTTAACAGATGCATTATGATTTGGAGGCACAGGACAGTTAAGGTTTTGTTCACACCCAGGACAAAGAGGAAGGGTCCCCTCCTCCTGTACAAATTGAAGGCAATCTAGGACTTAAAGCACAACTACTTGCCTGGGGCTGCACTGCTAAATAAACCAGCCTGAAAAATGAGCAACCCACTAGGAAGACCCATGTCTAAGTCATGGGCACAGGCCAATGTTCTCTGGATTCCCTGGAGGGGTGAAGAAGGTACCTGTGTAAATTACTTTCTAAAAGACAACTCCAATTATTTCTCCTCTCTTCCTTTTTTTTTTTCTTTTTCTTTTTTCTGGTGGAACTGGGGATTGAACTCAGACCCTTATGCTTGCCAGGGAAGTGCTTATTCTACTGAACCATCTCCCAGCCCTCCTCTCTTCCTTAATACAATGTTCTTCTACCAAGGATGACAAAATGGAGAGGATGTGAAAAGCAGTTCCCATAATCAGTCACCATGCCCTAAAGCCAACCATGGGCCAGGCTTGGACTGCTCCATAAAACTCACCTAATGCGTAGGCAGTGGTGTTCTGGATTCAAAGGAGGAATAGTGTACTAAAGAAATGTGCGAACAAATGATCCAGTCTCTGGGGATCAAGGGCAGGCTTTTGAGAAAGGCATGTTTATACTGAGTAGGAGAAAATAAAACATTGTTCTTCAATTTACTATTTGTGGGCTGGTGAGATGGCTCAGTGGTCTAAAGCACCTACTTAGAACAAGCTTAGCAAAGCACAGGGACCGCGGTTCAATCCCCCAGCACCACATGCCAGCCAGCCCTGCTCCCTGGTGGGCTGAGCTGGCCACACGCACGCGCGCGCGCACACACACACACACACACACACATATAAATAAAAAAATTTACTATTTGTGAGGCTAAGTTTGGTGCTCCGGAAATACATTGCTACATCTCAAGCTACCCCAAACGTTACCTTTAAAAATCTATCAATTATTAACATGATCCTGAGGATCAGTGACTCCAGCCAGCTCAGCTGGATAAATCTTCTGAGGTTGAGTTTGGGCTCTTTCTCATTCATGTGACCACCAACTGGGGCTAGAAGGGCATCATCTGCATCTCTGTGGCCTCTCTCCCACAGGCTATCAAAACTTGCTTCCACAAGTGTGCACAAGTTCCTAAACTATTTCCCAAAACACATTTTTGCTCAAGCCCCACTGGCCAAAGCACTGACCAAACATAATGTTCCTAATAGGAAGAATTGCAAAGCAATAATGACGCTGTTTTGGCAAACTAGTAAAGACCCTAGCCCAGCACTCTAGTGCTGCTAGAGTCCGTATTCCCATTCCACTGTACTAACCAGGCATTCTCCCACTTTCAGGCTGTAAGATGCGTCCATGGACCTCTTGGTCAGAATGCACCAAACAGTGTGGAGGTGGGATTCAGGAACGCTATATGACTGTCAAGAAGAGGTTCAAAAGCTCCCAGTTTACCAGCTGCAAAGACAAGAAGGAGATCAGAGCATGCAACGTTCACCCGTGTTAGCAGGGATACAAGTTCCCCAGGGTGTCACTCCAGATTTGTCCTCAATGGCTGGGTGGTGTGCTTGTCTAAGACGATTTAAGTTGTGTCCACTAGTTTCCGTTTTTCTTTTGCAGTGTGGTTTGCTCAGTAGTCGTGGGTGCCAAGAACATCCTTTGAATATTTCTTGGTGGGTACAGGCTGAGGGGGGGCTCCCTCTCCCAGCACAGAAGTGAGTAGGGACTGTCACCCTGTGCTAAGCTGAAGCATCTCCCTCTGGAGAATCCACATGGAGGGCAAATATGTCTGAAAAACACTGCATCCAGGGTGGGTCCCAGGGTGCACCAGGTAGGAAATACCCACAGATGAAAACATATTCCCTTCTCAGCTTTGGTCAGTCACTCTTCATAGAAAACTTGTCTGCCCACCTCTTTTCACTTAATGGAACTTGAGGTCTCTTGTTATATCTCTTGCCTGGGTCATTATGTTCTTGAGGAAAATGGTCAAGAAAAGCACTGATATTGGATAGCTCTTATTCTTACACTGAAAACTTTAAGTTGGATGCATTGATTTCCTAATTTTGGTTCCTGGTACCCCAAAGGAAAAAACAATGATGGCTGCTTCAGTTAAGTGTAATCAGTTCTTATACCAGAGAGAAAGGGTACTAAGTGTAGAAAGTAGTTTTTGTTTGCTTTTATTTTTTTGGTGCCACAATTCTAGAAACAGTTTTATGAACCTACCTTTCAGTAATAGATCCTTACTGGACCCCAGGCCAAAGCAGCAAAACTGGCCTACTGGTTACAGACCTGAGTTTTAAAATCATCCTACACACACCCATAAAGACTTTTAAGTCTCCAAACCAGTTTCAAATGAGAAAATGCTAAGTCTGCCCAAAAGTCATTCCTTCAAACAAAAGAAGAAACATCTCTGTACTTAAAAGTTATTTTTTAGTCATAATAGTTAATATTTAGAGAAAAAGTATTTCAGAGACAATAACAAAATCTAGAAAAAGAATACTGTGGAGTTGAGCTGAGTAAGAAAGCCTGTATCAGCCTTCTGCGCCAGGGCTGTGGTCCTCCTCACAGCTATCTGCAGGGAAGCCCATGCTTGGCATTCCAGCCACTCCACTACGCACACCAAATTCAGGGAGACTATCAACAGTATCATTTTGCTCAGCTGAGCCCATCAACAGTTTCTGTCAAAACATCATCCATTTATTGTTAAAACTTACTGTTTCTTTTTACAGGCCTTTTTATTACTGCTTAACCCAAATATGTATCATGGACAAGATGCACACAATGCTTGAATATACTACTTTAAGAATTTGCATTAAACAAATTGGGATATTTCTAAAATACAACACCTATATGCTATAGCCCTGAATATGTATTTTCTTGAACACAAGAAAGACTGTTCAATAAAAAAAACAAAACTCAATGGGTCTTTCGTGTTTTTAAACAAATTAAATGTTCAGATGTTTGGGTCCTTTTAGAACTGTAAGAACAATGGCCTTTCCTCCCTCATTCTGGAGGGTCACTGTGACCACATCCCTGAGCTAGAGATTTCTTCTCAATCTTTTTGTAATCCCTAATAAATGCCTTCTCCTTTCCCCCCACCACTGCCTCAGCATAGCAAAGAAATAAGAGGCTCCAATTTCCACATGGGGAAAAAATAATCAACTCACTGTTCCATCATCCTCCAAAGCTAAGTTCCGTGGTGATTCCCAAGCATTTCTGAGACAAGCTATGCCAGTGTCTTGTGTTTGTTCACATTTGGTCCCCTTTAAGTCCATTTTTAATTCTGACTTTGGAGCCTAAAAACCAGATAACTGGATAGTGGCTAAGACTGGGTAACATGCTTCTTACCACTTAAGTACTTTTGGTTGCAACAGGGAAATTTAAGTGTCAAATCTCTTTTTACCAAAGTCTTATGTTAGGTGGTGTCTAGTGCTTCTGGCTAGCCAGTTTGGAAATAAAGACTTTTTACTACAAAAGCGTAATCTATTTGGATTTCCACTTGAAAAAACTGAAAGACAACAAGACCAACTACCAACAAATAGCTATACTGTACACAGTTTTATCAATGCCAAACCAGTTAGATTTGACATTTTAAGATAACAACTTGACACTGAGTGACTTACCTGTTGCCTTGCCAATGCATTTTATTGGGGGGGGGGGGAATCTGTTGTAGCAAACGAAAATAAAACCTGGCCTTCTTTAGACCCAGAACTGAAAAAAAATTAAAGACAATTTGTACTATTTTTCTCATTTCAACTTTGTACACTGAATACGTGCTACTACTCAAAGTCTATGTACGCCATCCAGAAAGGGGTCTTAGAAATTCTCATGTGGCTACAATTCTTCAGAAACTTGTGTACACCAAGGCCATGGCTGAGGTGTCAATTCACAAATACGCTTCATGTGCAGTTAGCTCTGACCTACTTCTGCTTAGCCTACATGTTCCAGGCAATAAATAATTGTTCTGAAAAAGAATCAGAAAATTCAAAGAACTGCGAAAAGACTTCAATCATTTATATTGGAACCTGATTTGAAATGAAAGAGCTAGCTTTGAAAAATTCCATTACACTGAATTCAGCCACAAACGAGTTAAAATACTTATATCCTAAAGAAACTGTTTGTCTACACAACATTAAACCATAAATGTTAATTCCCTAACCACAACACAGAATCAAGGCAGACAATCATTTCCACTATTTTGCTATTTGGTGCTATTAATTTTAATAAAATTATTCATTTTGTTCTTCTTATTTCCCAAAGTAGGGACAATTAATGAAAATAATTCTCTTTGAAAGTGATGATGAAGATGCAAAAACAAATTATAAATAGCAGTTGAATGCTAATTAACATGTAGCTAATTTTTTCATTTAAATCCTTTGAAACAAAGTAAAAGATCTAAAATGTCACATTTGAATAATGGCATCCCTGCTTTAGACACCCCCCCACCCCCGGGCTCTGGTGGAGAAGCAGAGGCGGTGTAACGGGGAACCTAGGCTCAGGCTACTGGGGACAGAGCCACTTAGTCCTTTCTGGCCTAACAAGCGTCTTCAGACTAATTTCTTAATTCAGTCAATCCACACCTGAGCACAGGTCCTCATGGCATCCAGTCCTCGGACACAGGGCCAGTTCCACGCCATGACCTCACTGCTTCATAAAGCAGTAAGTGCCCACTTTGTGCTGAAGCTTCTTTGAGGTACATTTCAGTCATTTACAGTCTAAAATGCCATGACAAAACACACATGCGTAATTTTTAGTTTTCATCAGAGCAAAATGCAATTTCAGAGTGTTTTCACTTGTAATTCCATTATTCATAATGTCTTAAGATAGCATTCATTAACATTTTCTCATATTGCTCTAAATACTCCCTTCTCTAGCATACTGATTGGTAATGATTCTCACATACCAAGCAGTTACACGCTTAAACAATTTTCCTTTACCTGAAATAATTTTTATGCATCCACAGAAGAAATGGCAAACAGCCACAATTCCTGACTCCTTTACAATATTTGGACTTTGTAAAAGGAGAGTCTTATTTTTTCAAGTGTTGGTCACCTTTCTAGCTAGGAGTCAGAAGGCTGCTTCTGCAAAGTGCCTCAGCCTCTTCCACCCTCCCTTGCTACACCAGTGCTTCTCACAGACTAGCAGCCTAATAGTACGCACAAAAAGCATACAGAAAGAGACATCGTTAGGAAACCGCTACAGTGATTTCATACTGCCACAGCACTCAAGAGAATGATTTTCCTCGTTAACTCATTTTTCATTATACTTAGCAAAAGCATCAGTCTACAACCCTGAAGATTCAATTTTTTTTTTTTTTTTTTGGAACCAGGGATTGAACTCGGGCCCTTGCACTTGCCAGGGAAGTGCTTATTCTACTGAGCCATCTCCCCAGCGCCTCAATTTTTTTTTTAATTGTTTAAATGCTTTAATGTGTACATGGTGCATATTCACAAGCCTTTACCACAGCCAGTGCGAGAAGCGTCAGAGAAGGTGCCAGCCCACAGTCCACAGGCCAGCACCAGCACGCATGTCACACAGAACTACAACATCACTGAAGCCCTTAGAGGCTCTGCATCCCTGCTCAGGCTTTCAGCTCTCTGGCTGCCACAGCCAGATAACAGTACCTAGTTTCGGATCTGGGTGCCTATACAGCTGAGAATAAAGACCTCACGTGGGCTTGCTGTCCTACTCCTCAAACCCCTGACCTGCCCACCAAAGGTGGATGCTCCTACACCTTGATCTTTGCCATAGAATTTCTCACAACAGCACACGCTTATTTCCTCCACTTCCTACCCTCCAATCACATCACAACTCCCTCCCATCTTCCGCGAACAGTTGGTGAAACCAATCTAAGAAGTCACCAGCAATCTGTAAATATTCACTCTCTCACTCTCTGTCCCCTCCTACCATGCACTCTACAGCACCCAAAGCCTTTTACCATCTCTGGCTTCCTGTATGTCAAGGAATTATTCTCTCCAATTTCTGGCTACTTCTCTGAACTTTTTGCTGCTGCTTAATCTTATCTTCTACCTCTACAAATGCTTGTTTTCTCCAAAAGTTTTATCCTTGGACCTCCTTTCAATGCCCTTCTGTTGAGTGCCTGCACTATTTTTCGATCACTAACTCACAACAGATACATTTCAAATCTGCCTGTCTAGCTCCAGCCTCTCCTTTTGAGCTCCCACCCACCCCTGAATACCTCTGGCTAGCCTTATACTATGACCGCCACAAGTATCTTTTCTTTCAGCCAGGGGCTTGCTCTGTAGTATAGGCTGGCCTTAAACTATGTAGACCAAGCTGCCCTCCAGGCCAACTATGTAGACCAAAAGCCTCTGGACTGCTAGAGTTTCAGGCCACCACACTGGCTATGAATGTCATATATTCTTACCACAAGGACTGCCCGTGCTCCTTATTTTAACTAATAGCACCACCAGCTTTCTTCTCAATATTTTAAAGTGTCAAACATTTCTTCTATTACTTAATATTCAGTCCCTTTCCCCCCACATTACTTCAGTTCAGGCCTTCATCACCTTTCTCTGAAACCATTCATCAAGTGGTGTTCTGCACATGCCAGGCAATGTGGGAAGGCAGTAAACACAAAGGGCATGGCTCTGCCCTCAAAGAGTTTATGACAGTAAAAGAACAGAGTCCATGATTCAAGCCTGACCACGCCCTCCTTAAGGCTGCACTGTTCTGCCATTCTAACTACCACCAGATTAGATCCAGGTACCTCCCATCCAGAACACTTGGAAGTTGCCCCCTCTACACTGAAGCGCCATCCTATTTAAAAAACCTGATCCAAGCCCATTCGCTCATGTTTCCCATCAGAGTTACATTCTTTTTAGCAGCTTCAACACCAGCACACATCCTGTATTATGTCAATGTATTTATATATATACACACTTCAGAAACAGACTTAGTAAATACCCTTAGGCAGACAAGTTTAAGGAATTTGAAAAGGACTGCTGATCATTATTTCCTCCCATTCCTGCCAGTCACCTGTTTAGGGGACCAAAATGTATACAGCAATGAGAAAAGAAAGACAATGAGTCAAAAAGGGAGAAGTGAAAAGTTAAAAGAGGAACAGGACACACCTTAAATATGACATCAAAGAACCACTTTATATTATAAAACTGAGAAGCCCCAGATTTAGCAAACAAAGTCACATGTATATCAACTGGGGCACAAGGTCTAACTCTGAAATACTGTCAAGCTCTATAAACACGCAATACAGAGAGGAAACTCCTAGGACAAAAACTCATGATTTTCCTTTCAAGAAGTTCTGTTTGAATTTACACAAGAAGCAGAAGAGATTCTAATGCTGCGAAAGAAACCTCAAACATTTAACCTGCGATAGAGTAGGGCTGGTTAATCATGGCCCTGGATCCAGTCCACCCCAGCATTTTTTCACATAGAACATTTTTGTCATTTTAAATGGATGGGAAACAAATGCAAAATGGTGTCTCATGACACACGACAATGAAATGGAACCAACTTTAGTACACACAAGCTCTTAACTGGAATATAGCCATCTTCATGCACTTACTTATACATTGTTTGTGATTGTTTGGGGGTTAGAATGGAGAAGCTGAGTAGTTGGGGACAGAGAACACATGGCTGGCAATACCAAGTCTTTAATCCTGTAATTGGCTCTTTATAAAAAGTCTGCCAAGGCCCAGCTACAGAAGGGAGGTGGGGAGTGGAGGTGTACACACAGACATGGACTACAGTATTCATGCAATGAGGCAACTTTATGAAAAAACTTTTCCAGTAAGAAATGAAGGGAATCACAAGGCATCTATGACTGTGTGATAGAAATCAAATGAGGGACTTCAACTTCTCTTCATGATAGAATATGAACCAGATTTACCACCACCACAGACAATTTTTAAAAATTAAAATTAATTTTTAATTTTAATAATGTTCCTCTTAATACTAAGCCAGGTATGGTGATGGGTGCTACAATCTTAGGTACTCAGCAGGCTGAGGCAAGAGAATCTCTAGAGCCCAGAAACTCAATACCAGCTTGGGCAACACAGTCAAATCTTATTAAATAAACACATAAGCAAGACTAATTTATGAAACACTTGTTTTTAGACAGTGTACACCAAGGAGAACTTGACTACAAGCTGGGTCGCGATCCCAGGCACCACATGCTTTGCCAGCCCTGGCCCCAGCCCCAACCCCGGGCACACTGAGCCAGCCACTGAGACCGGGTGTGGTGGTGCACACCTGTAATCCCAACCTGGGGAGGCTGAAAACAGGAGGATCACTGTACAGTGAGACCCTGTCCCAAATACATTTTTAGGAAGGAAGGAGGAACGAAGGGAGGGAGGGAGGAAGAGAAAAGAGAGAAGAGAAAGAGAAAGAAAAAGAAAGAGAAAGAAAGCAAGCACACACGCACGCACGCACACACACAAGCAATTGTCTTAAGCTCAGCTTTCTGCTTAGAGGCACACTGCAGATTATAAAAATGTATGACTCCAGCTAGGGAACAAATACTCCCTGCTAAAACTGAGAAGACAGACGCTGGAGCTCAGGAGCACTGAACAGCGCAACTTGGAGGAACCAGGAAGAATTCTGAAGCAAGAAGACTTCAAGAGCTACCAATATATGCAGAGTTGATGAGTCTCTGCAAAATATTAAGATACACACAACAATGACACAGGAATGAGGACCCAAACAGCTTCCTGTACCTCCCATAAGGCTGGGAATTGTTTGAGTTCCCACAAACTGCAGAGTCCACGTTGGTCATTCAGTGCATGCAGCAGAGTCCCCAAAGGGGTTACACTTTAGAAGCAGGGCAAAGTTATACTGGAGAAACTGGGGAAAAGGCTATCTGAGATTGCACTCAATTTAAAGACAAGACTTGAAAGGAACTGCAAGCAAATTAACTGACCACTAGAACCAAGTCCAAAACCCTTCAGATGAAGGCCACATGACCTAGACACCAACACAGAGGTGTGCAATACCCATCATCCAAATGCACCTACTAGATGTACAAAAACCAGGAAACTAGGCCTGATGTCTGGAGGAAAGCCAATCCACAGAAAGGAATCCAAATACCAAGAGACGGTGTGATGGGCAAACCCATGTCACCATGTTCAGAAGTGCAGGACAGCCTGCCGCAACTGGAGGCCTGTGAGAGGATGAATTCCTGCCAGAGTGGCTTTACCAACTGCCCCAAGACAGAACATAGGAGCACCATTTCTAGACACACAGGTGAGAAGTCTCATACCACACCACATACAAAGCAGTATGTTGGAAAGGAATTCGACAGTATAAAACTTATCTTCTTGGGCAGCGATTTTACCTGAACACATGAAAGACAGTTCTATATTAAGTAATTTTATTAATACTCAAAATAAATGAATTCTCTCTTTTGCTTCAGATGTTGTTGTAGGCTTCGTCCTCATGGGGATATTATCCCCCTCCTTTAGAGTGGAGGTCCTCTGTTATGGTTACTTCATTTAAGAAATCTAATCACAAGCAATTCAAAATATCACTAAGAGGCAGGCATGGGGGCACACGCTTATAATTTCACCATATGGTAGGCTGAGACAAGAGGACTGGGGTGAGTCGGAGGTCAGACTGGGCTAAGCAGTTCAAGGCCTGAACTATAAATAAGACCCCGTCTCCAAAAAACAAACCCACTGAGAATGTTTCACACAAGTTCACCTCTGAATGATCAGTGTGACTTTTAGACTTAAACCCTAGGTACTGCTGAGAAAGGGCATACCTCTGAAAAGTTTTTTTTTACTATCCTCTCACGAAACCACTAAAATAAC